AAAGTGTTTGAGTTAGTTTTTGTGATACTGTTGTAAAAATCTGGAGAATGAGGGAAGAGTTTGGGTAGTGAGTTGTAATTTAATGAAATAATATAAGTGTAGATAAATTAGAGATGTCAAATCTTATTTAGGAGTATTCAAAATGTTGTCTTGGAAGTGTTTCGGTGTTGTTTGGAAATGTTCAAAGGTATTTTTTTGTGAGTATTTAATGATTTATGAGTGTGTTTTGAAGGTGTTCAAAGTAAAGTGAGGTGTGTGTGTGTGTGTGTGGTGTGTGTGTGTGTGTGTGTGTGTGTTGTGTGTGTGTGCGTATTAACTTCGTAATATGTAAAATTGTGACTAGTGAATTTATCGAAAGTGGTTATAAGTTGTAAGTGTTGTGATGACTTTTTCTGACGAAATAGTTAAAACGAGAAAAAATGTCTAGACTTGAGGAAGAGTGAATCTTTTGTAAAGAAATTGTGGATTCTTGTGGGTATTAACGAAAAAATGTGGAATTAATTTGGGTTATCCTGAGTTAAGAGTGAAAATGTGTAATGTTTTCCCTATGTTGTATATTGAAAATGTATAATATGAGATGGTGGCGACGAAGATGATCCAGAACAAAATGCATAGAATTTCTTCAAGAGAAAAAGAATTACTCTATGTTGATTTAGTCAATGAATTGTACCTTTTTTCAATTAATTTTTTGTTGGATGTATATGAAATACATTGGTTGTATAATAAATAAATAAATAAAATATTGTGTATTAGTGTTATCCTGCATTTTAAGTTATTGTCTGCTCGACAAGATTCAGCCTGGTGTGTGAGGTCATCCATGTGACGTCACTGGACATAGGGGGAAGTCGACAAGATTCAGCCTGTGTGTGTGTGGTCATCATGTGACGTCACTGACTGCCGAGTAAACACAGGTGGGGTGACATCACACTTGTTTAGACCTGTAGTAAGAGAAAGTACCATGCCCCATAGAGGGAGTTCATTTGAATGCTTACCCCTAGAGGGGGAATCCAAAAAACTTGATCCAGGAGTTGGGACAGAAATTTTGGGGTAGAAGTGGATTGATGGGGGAAATCTTTGTATTATTGATATCGAGAAAAACTTGATCCGAGGAGATCATAAGAATTTCGAAACCCCATAGGGGGAATCCAAAAACTTGATCTGAGGAGTTGGAGTCTTTGTATTATTGATATCGAGAAAAACTTGATCCAAGGAAGTAGAGCAGGAATATTTGAGGTAGAAGTGGGTGGTGGGAGGTGTGGGGGAAAAATCTTTGTATTATTGATATCGAGATAAACTTGATCCGAGGAGATGGAGCAGGGAATTTGGGATGCAAGTGGGAGTCTATTTTGAATGCTTACCCCTGAGGGGGGAATCTAAAAACTTGATTCGAGGAGAGCACAAGAAAATAAAAAAAAAATCGAAAAATTTTTGGATGGGGGTGAAAGTGGGAGGGGGAACCTCAAAAAACTTGATCCAAGGAAGTAGAGCAGGAAAATTTAGGGTGAAAGTGGGAGTCCATTTTGAATGCTTACCCCAAGAGGGGGAATCTAAAAACTTGATTCGAGGAGAGCACAAGAAAATAAAAAAATCGAAAAAATTTTGGATGGGGGTGAAAGTGGGAGGGGAACCTCAAAAACTGATCCAAGGAAGTAGAGCAGGAAAATTTAGGGTGAAAGTGGGAGTCCATTTTGAATGCTTACCCCCAGAGGGGGAATCCAAAAACTTGATTCGAGGAGAGCACAAGAAAATAAAAAAAAAATTTCAAAAAAATTTTGGATGGGGGTGAAAGTGGGAGGGGAACCTCAAAAAACTTGATCTGAGGAAGTGGAGTCTTTGTATTATTGATATCGAGAAAAACTTGATCCAAGGAGATGGAGCAGAAATTTTGGAATGGAAGTGGGTGGTGGGAGTTGTACCCATAGGGGGAAACCCATAAAATTTGATCCGAGGAGATGGAGAGCACAAGAAAATGAAATTAAAAAAAAATTCGAAAACAAATCGGAAAAAATTCGGGGGGTGGGGGCGATCCGGACGACGCTGCAGAAGGTGCGGGGCGGGTGCGAGGGCAGGCATAGGGCAGGGTGCGGGGGTGGCCGCCAGTCGGGGCGGGTGCATGGGCGGGCGGGGCGCACGGGGCGCGGGGTGGGGGGCGTGGGTGGGGGGATTGAGTGCGAGGTGGTCGAGGGTGAGGTGGTCGAGGGTGAGGTGGTCAAGGGTGAGCTCAAGGTCATTAGCATAAAGGTGTGAAAAGGAGTCCGCTCAGCCTCAGCCGCAGACCTTTCGGGAGGAGACCGCTGAGAGACCGTACCGTGGAGACCGTACCATGGGAGCCGCTCTGTAGAAGAGACCGCTCTGTAGAAATCATCACTACTAATACTGAATGACACTGGATAATAATAATAATAATAATAATATTATTATTATTATTATTATTTCTTATTAATATTACTGTTTTATTGTTATTATAATCGAAAAGAGCTAAACCCTCTCAGCTTATACAGTGCTACGTAAAATGTGTCAAGTAATACAAGCAGTGACTCGGTTTGCACTGAGCGAGGAATCAGCAACAGGCCCAGCTCTACTTCTGCCTTTGATCCCCGTTGTCGTGGGAAACCTTTTTCACCACGATGCACTCCCAGCACGTGAAGATTTCACCACCTGATGAAGGAGCCACCGACTCCTGATGAATACCCTGCACGTCAATCTGTCCACCCTATCACTGCTAAGGACAAGATAGTTACTACCTCTGATATGCCGGATATGCTGAGGACGAAGATGATGTCAGTATTCGTCAAGAGGCTGGACCGTGATATTACCTGCCAGAGAACCAGCGACCTGGCACCTCATTGTGGACGTGAACGATAAAGCCAGGTACATGAAATCACGAAGATTCCCAACTCGTCTTTGATGCTCAAGATCAGATTTGCTGAGAGCTTTATGGCTTTCCAGACTCTCAATGGAGATGTTTGCATCTCTTAGTGTTATATAGACCCGAGGAACGTTGAACCATAACGCTACCATCACATTACCCCATGCAGGAGCTGATACTCATGTGCCCACATTGACAGATACTGCTTGCCGAAGGACAAGAAAATACTACTGCAAATGAGGTAATGAAAGCCAAACCTACAAGGACTATTCCACTACTCAGCCAAAATGCCTTAACTGCAAGAGTGATCATCGTAACCTTGCAGCCAAATGCCCACTTCGGAAATAAATCATCAAAAAGCAGAAGACCATAATGAAGTCAACACCACGCCTCCAGGTCCCCACCAGAAGATCTCACGAGGTGTTCAGCAGCCAACCATCACCACCACTGCACCAGTGATGAAGTCAACGTCAGCCTTTCAAACTGGAGCCTCATAGACAGATTTAGAAAACACTCGCCTGTATAATCTATGCCCATGTGGAAAATACTGCCATCTAGGTACCTTCAGTAAAGTCGCCAATGACATATTCCTCTTCAGCAATCTTCCTGATATGAAATTTCCATGCCAACTCCACTCAAACATTCAGGATCATCCATTCAGACAACTGCAATGTGATTATCCTAGAAGTAGCCAGGCCAGTCACTACTATAGTAGCAGTAGGTTAGGTTAGGTAAGATTTGTCAGGAAACAGGACAAGTGTTTCTCGACGCGAGTCTGTCGTATGATGACCCGCAACTGGAGATTTTGGTCATCTGACAGAGACCTTCCACTGGCTTACCCCTCCACCCCCTTAAAGATTATGCAGCAGCCAACCTTTAAGAAGACAAAGAAGATGACAGCGTAGAAGAAACTGCAGCCAATAGAAAAATTATGTGCTTTATCTCCACTAAATACAACTTAGAATGCTTCTATGCCGAAGTGTTTCCTTACACCGGTTGTCCATGTTCACCTAGCAGTAAAATAGGTACCTGGGTGTTAGTCGACTGGTGAGGGTCGCATCCTGGGAACAAAACTGACCTAATTTGCCCAAGAAATGCTCTGCATAACAAGCGGTTTTCTATATAGTAGTATGTCATTGATATCAGTTATGGTCTGTATACCTTGTACATGTACTTGTAGAAATAAAGATATGTAATTATTATTCATTAATTAAAAAATAGTTTGACACTATTTTTTTTTTTCTAAAATTGTAGGCTAGACTTCAATAAACTTTCGCACGTTTTGCTAATATAATACAATAATTTCCTGGGTAAACGTATCATAATTTTGACTGTGAATGTTATGTAATATTCTACGGTGATGTGGAAAATGTGAGAGCAACGAAATATAATTATTTTATCTTCCTAGCCTATCATTTCTATCGTGTTTTGTAAACTATTGTATTTTGTTCAGACTTGATCAGAAAGTCCACGGATGCAAATGGCGGACTGACGATATAGTACATCTCTCGATATTAATCTCTTCATTTTACGTATTAAAACATTCTTGACTGGAGGTGAACATGTGACATAAAACCTAATGACCTTATGATTAAGAACTAAGACATAAAAGAAGGACCTGTAGGACAGCAGGTCCAAGCTTCCGTTAAGAATGCATATATCAGCACAATGATAAAGGAACACGGCACCGATGGTCACAAGTAAGGTCCACATACTATGTATTATCCAACTTTTTTAAAGTACACAAGTTGGCCTTAACGTACTGGTTTGTCATATCCTATTCCCGCCCCCCTGTGTTTAATTAAATTGTGGAGTCCTGTTATGTAGATATTTCAGCACATATTACGTCCCTTATTAACGTAACTTACATGCCATGTAAGAAGCCTTGTGGGACAAATACCAAGACGAGCCTCAAGATCACGGTGTCTCCAGCCCCATTGTCCTTTTTCACAAACCATATCGTGTGCACTTTTATCCATAGTATTTAAGGTAAGTAATATGTGTGTGTTGTAGTGAGCTTTACAGTTCCTTTGCGTTGAAAATTATGTAATTGTTGTGTAGTTAATGTGTGTTTGTGTGTGTTGATCTTCTCTCAGTATTTAATGTGTGTTTCACTGTGACTTGCTGCCAGTGGTTGCTGCTGCTGCAAGTGACGGAGGCACTCAGCACGCTGTCTGCTTGATGCCACCTTCGGAAGCACCTATGGAGCCACCTGACAGAGCTTCTGAGGTAGCTCCTAAGGGAGTATCACCAGACGCATCTAAGGGGACTCGGTCAGGGGTGCCTAAAAACATACAAGGTGCTGCTGCTGAAACACGTAAACTGGCATCAAAGAACGCCCCAAAAGGAGTACATACGGTGTCACCAGGGACACCCCAGGGTGCACCTCAGGGGTCAACAGGTGCGTCACAAGGGGCTAGAGACATGCCTGGCCGAGCCTCCGAAGCAAAAGTTCTTGCTCGAAGGACAAGCGTGACCCCGCCTCGGTTAGCTGCCCCCGACCCTCCTAAAGGTTAGTAGCAAGACTGTCAGGGACCCATTAATGTACATTAAAGAAAATTGATACAGGTTTTGTAGTCTTTTGTGATTGAATATTACATGAAAACAATAAAAAAAAACCTGATTATGCAAACTTTCAGCGCATATACACATATGCAGACAGGGGACCTAATTATACATAGCATCCATGAGTGAGTTTTCTCTAAATTCGTGGATTTTATCGCCTTCGTGCACAGAATTAAGCAGGGTGTGAGAACATTGTCACTAGTAAAGTTGAATTTGGTTAGTTGTACATCAAGTAGTAAGCGCAGTATGATTTCGACGGGTTTACCGCATTTTTTTTAAATAATAATTATTAAGGTAGGTGTCGTGAGAGGCGACTAAAATGCCGGGAGCAAGGGAGGGGCTAGTAACCCCTTCTCCAGTGTAAATTACTAAGTGTAAGAAGATCTTTTTATTTTTTCGGGTCATTCTAACTTGGTGGGAGACGAACAGTGTAGTAAAAAATCGTAAGAAAGTTGTTTGCTTATGTGAATGAAGGAACTGATGTGGATATCACCCATACCAGGATTTTGAAAAATAGCCCCCCTCCTTCCCTACTAAATTTTTCTTTCAACAGTGCTAAAAACTAGCCCTCCCCTCCCCCGAAAAAAACAAACCAATGTATTATCATATTCCGGGGGAAGCACTAAAGCCGCAGAGGTCAATACAGCGCCTGGGAAATGGGAGATAATCAGGTTTGATTGAAGGAAAGTGAAAAGTTTTTCTCTGATATCGGAGCTCCTCCCTTGTAAAGGTCGCAGCCTAAATGCATCATCATTAAAGGTTCCCTTGCACCTTTCTACACCTTTAAACTATCCGCCATGATCTTTACATATCCTTAAAAGCCATCAATTTAACTATTGATGTAGCAATGTTAAAGTGCGAACTAATTTAGATAAAACTTAAATTAAATATTCATTCGTAACTAAAATAGACTCGTTAAAGTTTAGTAATACGTAATCTAAACTGGGTAGAAAATGTTGATCCCACAGGTTACACAGTAGACCATAACCTTTATGACAAGTAAGTATACATTATGGTTCATATACTGTTGATGTAAAGTAGCGATTCTTCACTTACCTGAGGTGGTGCCCACTCTCACAGTTGGTCATCACCCCCATCCTCCCCCTCAGTATAAAATTTTGAATGTAAAAATAAAAAAAAAGATAAAGCAACTAGTTTTCTTTCTCATCTATATTAGTTTTAACTATTGAAAAGAGTCCATTTAAGGAGCAAATCTCAAATACACAGCATTATTCCTTATTTTTGCTCTGGGTTCGTCACCTTAAAATTACATACGCCCCCTTGGGGGAGGGCGACCTTCCTAGGTTAAGAACCGCTGCTCTAATGCATGTTTAGTACAGTACACCCGAGTGTGCTTTCTAACACCTCGACACACTTATATGAGCTTATGACACATTAATGCACAAGGAGTATGTGCGTGTACTCACCTACTTATGGTTTCAGGGGTCGATTCATGGCTCCTGGCCCCGCCTCTTCGTTGGTCGCTACTAGGTCCACGCTCTCCCTGCCACAAGAGCCTTATCGTGTGTACTCACCTATTTGTGGTTGCAGGGGTAGTCAGTTCCTGGCCACGCTTCTTCGCTGATCGCTACTAGGTCCCGTCTCCCTGCTCCAAATGCCTTATCGTACCTCATCTTAAAGCTATGTATGAATTCTGCCTCCACTACTTCACTCTCCAGATTGTTCCACTTCCTGGCAACTCTAAGGCTGAAGAAATACTTCCTAACATCACTATGACTCATCTGAGTTTTCAACTTCCAGTTGTGTCCTTTTGTTGCTGCGTCTCGTCTCTGAAACTTTCTGGCCTTGTCCACCTTGTCAATTCCTCTCAGCATTTTATACATCGTTATCATGTTTACCTTATCCCTCGTGTAGTCAGGATGATTTCCCTTAACCTCTCCTCATAGGACATACCCCTTACCTCCGGGACTAGTATTGTTGCAAACCTTTGCACTTTCTCTAATTTCTTGACGTGCGCGCGCGCGTGTATGTTGTGTGTGTGTTGTTGTGGTGGTTGTGTGTGTGGTGTGTGTGTGTGTGTGTGTATGTGTGTGTGTGTGTGTGTGTCACATAAAAGATAATAGAATATGAAATGTTACATTTCTGGAGAGAGCATGTTCTGGTGTACAGTACTAGACAATATATGGAAGACTTCCCACTGCTGTTGTAGCACTCTTCCACAAAAATACTTGACTGGAAGTCTTTCACAGAAAACCTAGTTGATTGGAATTCTTTCACGGAAAGCTTAGTTGATTGGAAGTCTCACAGAAATCCTAGTTAATTGGAAGTTTTTCACATAAATAGTTGATTGCTGCTTGGCAGGGTACGACTTGATGACGTATGAGGAGTGTTACTGAAGCATTTACTATGTTTGGCAGGGTATGACTTGATAGCAACACGAATCATGCAGCAGATAGTGGGGGAGAACAGGGACATCCCAGCGCCTTCCACCGTCCCTGAGGCTGATCCTCTACTGCGCTCACTCCCGCCCCCGAAGTAAGTCGGAAACTCCTTGTCGAGTGGTTAGGATCCAACTCTACTTTTGTTAGTTTAAACCCCTCAAGGAAGGCTCCTTGACGCTGGTGAGGGGCTCTTGATCTAGGGAATTGGATCTGTGCTCCAGTTCCCTGAATTAAGCCTGAATGCCTTCCATCCCCCCATAGGCGCTGTATAATCCTACGGGTTTAGTGCTTCCCCCTTGATTATAATAATAATAATAATTGTTAGTTTAAATAAAGAAACATAGCTAAGCTCGTACTGTATTTTCTTGCATATAAGGCGCACGAGCGTTCTAGTATTACAACTTTATTATAGTCAACTGTATGTCCTTTAATAAAACACCACTTGCCAGTAACCCAAAGCCTATTCTTAATGCTGACCTTAAGCATATAAGGCGCAGGCTGATTTTCAAAGTCTTTTCTTGGTAAAAAAAAAAAAAAAAAGAGGGCGCAACTTATACTCCGGGAAATACGATATATACTGTTGCTTTCTTGTCTACTTAATTAATCATTACTAAATAATCATAGAATTTAAGAGTGTTAGTTTTTTACAAAAGTATTTATGGTATGAAGGTACTCGCTTTGATTTTATGATACAAACTTCAGATGTGTTAAGTACAGTTTAATGTTTCAAGTGTATGCAGTTTCTTAGTTCTCCAGGTAAGTACAACCAACATAGTAATGTTTAATGTTTGGTATTGTAAATTTTTTAGTTTCGAAGAATATTTGTGTGAAGCCTACACAGGTTGAAGAACTAGGAGCTTTATCAATCTAACAGACACACGAGAACGGAGACTAATACAGATGAACCAGTGAGGTAGTGTGATAAAGTAGTAGTAGTGGCCACTTAAGTGTCGGGGACTTTATACTGGAATTGTAATTTGTTGGCCGTGGAAGTACTGGTCAAGAATTGGGGCTGCTCCTCCGTTTCTCCGATCAAACCTGATTACTTCTCATTTTCCATGCGTTGCATGACCCCCTACGAATCTAGTGCTTTCCTATGAAAATAATAATGTGGGTATTTGAGGGTAAGTGCAGGTGGTAAAGGAAATAAATGGCGGAATGACGAGGTGAGCATGGAGGTAAAAGGGGAAAAATTTGGCTTAATAAAAGTTTTTACAGTGTGACAGTTCAGAAACGGAGGAATATATGAAAAATAATAAAGATGTTAAAAAAGTTATAAAAAATAATAACCTTAAAGAGTGGGTGAAGTTGTGGCAGTTTTGTTTTGCTGAAAATGGGAAAGATTTATTTATTTATTTAGAAATTTAGCATACAAACAGAGGTAAAAAAAAAATACAGGTAAGAGCAGCATGCCAAAGCCACTTATATGCATAGCATTACGGGCTGGCTTAAAATTAACTTAAGATTAACTAAGCAATGATGAAATCGGTGATAAAACATTATTGTAAACAGATAACTATAAAAACAAATGAGTATTACAAAGACAGGTCATATGGTTGTATGCATTGCTGTTCATTCAGTAGAATGGAGTATTCTGTTGGGTAGTGTATTTAAAAAAAATAACAAAGTTAGGTTTAACATTTGTGTGTATAATGTGAGTAACATTTAGGATATACAATTTAATATGGTTCTTTATTCAGTATTTATTTGGTTTTGAGTGAGTAAGTGAACCTTGAGAAGAGACTTGAATTTATAAACAGTAGTGTTTCTTTTATATTTACAGGTAATGAATTCCAGATTTTAGGGCCTTTTATGTGCATTGAGTTTTTGCATAGTGTGAGAATGGACACGAGGAACATCAAAGAGTGATCTGTGCCTTGTATTATGGTCATGTGTTCTGTTGAGGTTGGCAAGGAGATGTTTGAGGGAGGGTTAATAATTATGTTAGAATAGGTGCAATAATAAAAATGGATTTTTGTATGGTGAGTAGGTTGAGTGTTTTGAATTTTGGGTTTGGAGTGTGCTGCCTGTATGAGAATTTGTTATCATTCTAAGCAGCCTTTTGTTGGGTAATTAGTGGTCTGAGATGGTTAGTTGTTGTTGAGCCCCATGCACAAATTGCATAGGTGAGATAGGGGTAAATAAGAGAGTGATATAGGGCCAGGAGGGCTGACTGTGGAACATAGTACCGTATCTTCGATAATATGCCTACAGTCTTGGAAATTTTCCTTAGAAATTTGTTGTATATGTGTAATGAAATTTGAGTCTATTATCGAGGTGGATTCCTAAGAATTTTCCCTCTGTTAGCTTTGTGATAGGTGATCCGTTTATCATTATGTTAAGAGGGACATCTGTAGCTCTGCTACCAAACTGAATGAAGTAGGTTTTGTCAATGTTTAGTGTAAAATTTGTTAGTCCTCATCCAGGAGATATTTTCTGTTTAATTCGGTGTTTACAGTATTGGCTAGCGTGACTGGGCTCGGGTGAGAGAAGACGTATGTGGTGCATCTGCAAAAAGTGTGGGTTTGAGTAATTGCGAAGCATTTGGTAGGTCATTTATTTTATAGGAGAAAGAGAAGAGGGCCAAGGACACTTCCCTGTGGGACACCAACTGTAATTGGTTGTGCGGAAAGGGTTGCCCCATTTGCGTACACATATTGGCTTCTGTTGCTGAGGTAAGACTTGAGGTAGTTGAGGGAGTGCCCTCTAATACCATAGTGTGAAAAATTTTACGTGGAGCAAGTCCCTGGTCAACTGTAAACAAAAGCTTTACTAAGTCAAGTGAAGACCCCAGTGGGACTTCTTTTTTCTCTATTGCAGTGATATTGTTCTAGCATGTGTAAAAATAGCATCATTAGTATTTTTATTAGGCCTGAATCCAAATTGGCAGGGGGTTTAGAATGTTATGGGAGATGAGGTAGGAGTGATTCGTTTATGAATTAATTTTTCGAAGATTTTTGAGAGGGTGGGAAATTGGATATTGGCCTATAGTTATTAAACTCGTTTGGTCTCCTCCTTTTGGATCGGGGTGACCCTTGCTATTTTGAGAACTGTAGGAAGGTGGAGGATTCAATGGATTTGTTAAAGAGTGTTGCAATGATTGGTGATAGTATTTGTGACGCTTTTTTGTATATAAAGGGTGGTAAGGTATTTAAATCTCCTGCCTTGTTTTTCAGTGCGTTGATAAATAAGGGGGGACTTCGATGGGTTAGTCGAGCTAGGAACAGTGTGTTTTGGGTAGTTGCCAGTGAGGTATCATTGGTGGGGGTATCTGAGCTTGGGATATTATTGGCAAGGTTTTGAAACCCATAGTGGAGAAGAAATCATTGAGTTGTTTGCTGTTTTCTGTTGGTGGGAGTTGGGGTTCATCTGATTTGCTAAATTTTATTTTCGCTATGTCGTGAATCTTTTTTGTTCCCCGATTTCGATGGGCTTCCAGGTCTTTTTTATATCACCTCGTAAGTTGGATAATTGTTTATAATAAATTTTTTGCCTTTTTTTATCGGCGGTTAGGTTGACGAGTAACGTTTGTTTGGTCCTTGGGTTTTGTGACCCATTCTACTGTTTTTTTATATGGGGGGGTTTTTATTTTTGGGGTTTT